TGCATGTTTAAGCTTCTGTAATCGGTAAAAGTTTGACCTTTGGAGGATATTTTCGCGAAATACAAAATCTGGGTTCTGTCGCGAAATATCTGGAAGTTTGATTGTGAATATCCGGATATTGATATCGGATATTGATATCCGGATATTCCCCCGACATATATCCGGATATCCAGAACCCCATATCCGGATATCCATATCCAGATATTCAAATCCGGATATCAATATCCGGATATTTCGCGACAGAACTCGGATTCTGCATTTTCGCGAGATATCAATCCAAAGGTGGTTTATTTCATGATTCCAGAGGCTTAAACATGCAATTCTAGGTGTGTTTAATGTAAGAACCTGCATCGTTAATTAAGGAAGTTAATTAATTAATTATGTGAAATTAGAAAATAATTCCATAATTGACCCTAATAATTATTATGAGGCTTAAATTAATATAGAAAGTGATTAATAATGCTGAAAGTTGCTTTTCTGACGAAAAGTGCAGATACCGATTCTGCTACTCGGTATAAATGCGTACCGTAACTCCCCGTATATATCCGGTAGTGTTATCATTACATCGTATTAAGCTACGCTTAATTAAAAATGCGGAATATTCTTTTTCTTTTCAATTATGACGTCATTATCAATTACCAACTTGATTACTTAATCAATTTCATAAAATATCGCCTGAATGTAAATTGCAATAAGACATCTACTGAAATACCTCAATATAACATATAAAGTGAGTATCTAAGTCACGGCATTACATCAATCCGGACAATATCCTGATACATTAATACAACTCTAATAAAAGCAAGACATAACAAGTCTACGTGGCATGGACAATCCCCATGCTCACCAAATCAACAGTGTCTCAACAAGATAATCCAAAATCATAACATGAAGCTAAAAGCATAAAAACAGCAAGCATATCCAACATCCAACATGTCAGCATATAATGTCATCATTATCTAACTCAGCTCCGGCCTCCTGCCGCTTGAGGTCTCAACATTACCTGACCCTGAAATAAGCATTCCCCAAACGTGGGGTGAGATCTCTAAACCAGAAATCTCAGTAAGACAAGGGGTCTTCAAGGATCTTTCACCCCAAGCTCACTTACATGTGCAATATAAGTTCTAAAAGCATTTATATCAATATAAGTTCCAAAATTATGCAGTGCAACAGATATTCGTGTCATGTGTGTTTATCACTATCTACTGGCCAGAGAAATGCAGGAATACGTTTATACCTACATGTAGTACAAGGAACACCGCTTGCACCTCACCCACAGCCTCACCATCTTGTATGTACCACATACTCAGGCTTACCGTATAGGTGAAACACCACATGCATATCATAAAGGCACTAGCATATAACAGCTCAATAGCATTTCCAAAACATCAAAAGCATGTAACACAACATGCATATAACCATACTCCCATGGGACATGGTGGAACCACAACATGGCTAAACCGAGAACACGAAAGCTTACCTTGCAAGCTCACTATCCAATGCCAAGAGTCCTCACAGCTCAAGTCCAACACACAGCAGATCACAATCTGATTTAGGACCAGCAAGTGGATCAACATACATAGCTTAAAAGCATTAACATAAAGACTACGTTCTCCTTTAACGATTTACGTCTTTAGGCTTCCAACAAAGCCACAAGCCCTTAATCACAAGATTCTGACTTAGTTCATTAATTACAGAAGTTCAACTTCATCAATCTAGGGTCCACAAACCCCCAATAGCCTATTGTACACAAAGCACAGCTACTGTTCTTCGAAATCCCAGAATATCCGGATATTCCTCGGGGCATATCCGGATACACAATATACGGATTTCTCACTGACCATATACGGATATACAATATCCGAATATCCAGATTCCCATATCCGGATATCCAAATCCCATATCTGGATATCAAATATCTGGATATTTCACGGGCAGATATCTGGATATTTCACGACAGAATGCAGAAACTGCATTTCGTGAAGATATCCTTCCAAAGTTGGGTTTTTACCGATTATAAACACTTAAACATGCATTTCTAGGTGTGTTTGACATTACCCAACGTTAAGTTATCATCTTTTAACCTTTAGATGCATCAAGGTTCCATTTTTTAAGCATAAAACTCAAGTTAAAGTGTGATGATCATACCACAAGCCCAAAACAGAGGATGAAGATGCTCTTGGAGCTCACCAACAACCCCTCAACTACTGACCACACAGGGTGTGCGAAAATGGAAGACAAGCAAGGCTCTTCCTCACCAAAGTTGGCTCCTTGGACCTCAAAAATGAAGCACAAGGTTCACTCACTCCACCAACCCAAATTCAGCCCCCAACACTCCCTCAAATTGACCTCCCTACTCAGAAACAGCACCACAAACCCCTTCCCAAAGGTGACTCTCCCTCACCCAAGTGTTTAAGAGAAGCTTTCAAGGAAGAGAAAGCCTCAAAGCTCAAGAAATGGTGAAGAAAGGGATGAAACAGTGACACAATCAGACCAGCCACCAAAACCCACGAAGAAGAGGCAGTTTTCTAGGGCATTGTGCCCTTAGTAAGTGTATATATAGCCACTTAACAATTAAACACGCAGTATTAACTTTAATTGCTACGGTTAGAATTTTAATCCCAAACTTTGAATTCTGAACCTACTCAATTTTACAAGAATTATCATATTTTTCTTATATTTTTCGGATAACCTTTCTGGTACGCGTTTTTCATAGCCAGTATCAGTTTCTGGCACCAGTTCTCATAATTTGAACTTGAAACTCGTTTTCAATTCCAATATATTATTCTAGTAATTATCATGCACTTACATTAATTTTTCGGGATACTTTTTCGGTACGCATTTATACCGACTAGCAGAACCGGTATCTGCACTTTTCTTCTAAAAAGCGACTTTCAGCATTCTTAATCACTTATCATGATTATTAAAGCCTCTTAATAATTATTAGAGTCAATTATGGAATCATTTCCTATTTTCTCATAATTAATCAGTTAAATTTCTTATTTAACGGTGCGGGTTCTTACACGTACCGGTGAAGTATCCCGAAAAATTATAATAAATGCATGAATATTCCTAGAATAATATATATGACTTGTAAAACAAGTTTGAAGTCAAAATAATGAGAATTGATGTCGGAACTAATACTGTCAGTGTTAAAACGCGTACCGCAAAAGTGTTGCAAAAGATTAATATAAAAATATGAAAAATCCTAGAAAAATGGCTAGGTTCAGAATATGAAGTTTGAGATTAAAATGATAAGCGTAGCTATTATTGCTAATACAGTGTGATTTATCTTAAAAAGCCTATATAAGCTAAGTCGCACAAAACCTAGGCCACATTTTTGGCCGCTGCGTGAGACTTGAGGGCTGACCACCTTCAGCCATTGCTCTTCCTTCTTGAACTTGAGCTCCATGCACCTTTGTGAGTCAAGAACTCATCTTTTCCCTTTGATTCCTTCACACTAAACCTTGTAAACACTTAGTAGTTGGTTGTGAGAAGGGTGAGGAGCCTTGTTGATGAGTGTGGTTTCTGGTTTGTGGGGTTTTGTGGGCTGAGTACGTGAGTTTTCCTTGGAAAGGCCATTGTCATGGCATTTGGTGCTTCAAAGTGTGATCTTTGAAGAGAAAGAACTCACCTTGAGTTGTATTTTCGTGGTTCATTAAAGTCAGCATTTTTTAGCATTGTTGGAGAGCTCCAAGAGCCTTCTTTGTTGCTGGACCCCATTGGTATACTTTGAACTTCCCTTTAAATTTTCATGAAAATAGCTTGTTTATGTTATGAAATGAGATAACTTTAATCATTCAAGCTTAGTGTTGTTAATCTAAGGCTAATAAGTGTTAATGCATATCTATTTTGGGTCAAAACCGAACCTTGGGTCATTGGGTGACATTTTTGCTTCGGATTGTGCAGAAAAACTCTGCAGAAAACTGTTCTGCCCGCGTGGTAATCGATTACTTTTGGTTGGTAATCGATTACCATGTGCAGTAATCGATTACCTTGCTGGTGGTAATCGATTACTGGTAATCGATTACCATGCCCTTGGTAATCGATTACCACCTGTGAAAATGACCAAAAATCAATTTTATGCGTGGGTTAGTCCCCTTTTGGGCATGATGGCCTAAGAAGTTTGTATTACTGTTGGAAAACAATGATACCTTTAATTATGGGACTTAATACTTGATAATTATGAACTAGAACCGATGTAATCGAATAAGGAAATGTTGTCATAGTGAAATGAACCTTTAAAGTATGGTTATTAATGACATTTCTGATATAAACAAATTGTGATTGTGCTGTTTGTGGGCCTTGAGCTTGTGCGGACTTTTGGCTTGGATAGTTAGCTTGCAAGGTAAGCTTTTGTGTCCTCGGTTTAGCCATGTTGTGGTTCCACCATTCCCCATGGGGAAATGGTTTATATGCATGTTGTGTTACATGCTTTGGATATTTTGAAATGCTTTTGAGCTGATATGTGCAATGACTTATAATATGTATGTGTTGTTTACACTTAGTCGATAAGCCTGAGTATGTAGCGTCATACAAGATGGTGAGCCCGTGGGTGGGTGCATGTAGTGTCTTGCATATTGTGTGGGTAATAAACGTATTCCTGCATTTCTCTGATCAGTAGAATAGAATTGACACACATGACATGATTATCTGTTGCATTGCACTATTTTGGAAATTATATTGTTAAACTGCTTTTGAACTTATATTGCACATGTAAGTGAGCTTGGGGTGGAAGATCCTTGAGGACCCCTTGTCTTACTGAGATTTCTTGTTTAGAGATCTCACCCTACGTTTGGGGGCGCTTATTTCAGGTTCAGGTAATTTGGGGGCTGAGGCCTCTGGCGGCAGGAGGCCGGAGCTTAGTTGATGGTTATTGTTGTTTATATGCTGACATGTTTGGATGCTGGATCTATCTGCTGATGTTATGCTTTTAGCTTTATTTTATTATGATGCTGTTGTTGAGACTATGTTGGGCTTGTTGCCTTATTTGTGTGAGCATGGGGTTTGTCATGCCACTTGATGTTAGTACTTTGGATTGAGTTGTATAAACTGTTAGTTTGTCCGGTCTACATGTTGTAGTTCCGTGACTAGAGACATATTTATGTTGTTTAATTATTGAGGTATTTTAGTTAGTTGTCTTTTGCAATTTACATACAGACAATGTTTTATTAATTGATTAAGTAAGCAAGTTGGTAATGATTAATGACGTCATAATTGAAAAGAAAAACATATTCCACATTTTTAATTAAGCACAGCTTAATACGATGATATGATAACATTACCGGATATATACGGGGTGTTACATTTAACCTTACCCAACCTTAAGTTATTAACTTTAATTCATTACATGCATCAAGGTTCCACTTTTAACCATTAAAACTCATGATAAGGTGGGTGACACTTACCCAAGCTCAAAAGAGAGCAAGAAGGTGCTCTTGGAGATCACCAACAGTTCCTCAAGTGTGACTTCACAAGGTGCACGAAAGTGGCACACAAAGATGGGTCCTTTCTTCACAAAGGTAGCTTCTTGGAGCTACAACAACCAAGAAGATAGCTCCCTCCTCACCAAAACCAGAAGGCAGCACACTCACCCTCACAAGACAACAGGCAGCAGCCACACTCAGAAAAGAAGCCACTTTCCCACCCACAATGATTGTTCACACACACCCAAGGTGTTTAGGTGAAGAGAAATGGAAGAAAGGTAGTTTCTTTGGTGAGTTCCCAAGGAAGGAAGAGGAAGGCAGCAAGGAGAGCCCAAACTCAGAAAATTCCTACGAAGGAGGCACCAAAATAGACCTAGGATCATGTGCCAAGGCCTTATATAGGCCATTTAAATTTTAAACGCACTGTATTAGCACTAAAAGCTACGCTTAGCATTTTAATCCCAAACTTTGGGATCTGAACCTATTCAATTTTACAAGATTTATCATATTTTTATTATATTTTTTATAGCACCTTTTCGGTACGCGTTTTTCCATAGCCAGTATCAGTTCTGGCATCAGTTCTCATTATTTTAACTTGAAACTCGTTTTACAAGTCCTATATAATATTCTAGGAATATTCATGCACTTATTGTAATTTTCTGGGATACTTCATCGGTACGCATTTATACCGAATAGCTGAAGTATCTGCACTTTTCGTCAGAAAATCGACTTTCAGCTTTAATAAACACTTACCGTAATTATTTAATCCTCATAATAATTATTAGGGTCAATTAAGGAATTCTTTCCTAATTTCTCACAAATAATTAATTATCTTCCTTAATTAACGGTGCAGGTTCTTACAAAAGACATGAACATGGCTTACCCAAAGAAAACTCCCAAACACAGCCACAAAACACCTCAACTCAGAAGCCTAAACTCAGTAATTAGTGGCCTCACACCCTCACAAGGCTTGGTTTCACACACCTAAGCTATTTTGGTGAAGGAAGTATGCATAAAGATGATCACTTGGAGGGTTCAAGGAGGAAGAAAGCTATGAGATGGTGAAGAAGAAAGGAGGCAGCAGCTGAGCCTCCAAAAACTGACGTAGGAAACAAAAGAATTAACCTATGTCTTTGTGCCAAAGGTTATTTATAGTTTCATTAAGTCTAACCACATTGTATTAGCACTAATAGTTACGCTTATCATTTTAATCCCAAACTTTGGATTCTGAACCTAGCCATTTGTAAGAACTCGCATCGTTAAATAAGGAATTTAACTGATTAATTATGTTAAATTAGGAAATGATTCCATAATTGACCCTAATATTTATTAAGAGGCTTTAATAATTATGATAAGTGATTAAGAATGCTGAAAGTCGCTTTTCGGAAGAAAAGTGCAGATACCGTTCTGCTAGTCAGTATAAATGCGTACCGAAAAAGTATCCCGGAAAATTAATGTAAGTACATGATAATTACTAGAATAATATGTAGGACTTGTAAAATGAGTTTCAAGATCAAATAATGAGAACTGGTGCCAGAAAATGATACTGGCTATGAAAAGCGCGTACCGGAAAAGTGCTCCGAAAAATATAAGAAAAATATGATAATTCTTGTAAAATTTAATAATTTAAGAATCCAAAGTTTGGGATTAAAATGTTAAGCGTAGCAATTAAAGTTAATACCTTGTGTTTAATTGTTAAGTGGCTATATATACACTTACTAAGGGCACAATGCCCTAGAAAACTGCCTCTTCTTCGTGGGTTTTGGTGGCTGGTCTGATTGTGTCACTGTTTCATCCCTTTCTTCACCATTTCTTGAGCTTTGAGGCTTTCTCTTCCTTGAAAGCTTCTCTTACACACTTGTGTGAGGGAGAGTCACCTTTGGGAAAGGGTTTGTGGTGCTGTTTCTGAGTAAAGTGGTCAGCTTGAGGGAGTGTTGGGGGCTGAATTTGGGTTGGTGAAGTGAGTGAATCTTGTGCTTCATTTTTGAGGTCCAAGGAGCCACCTTTGGTGAGGAAGAGCCTTGTTTGTCTTCCATTTTCGCACACCCTGTGTGGTCAGTAGTTGAGGGGCTGTTGGTGAGCTCCAAGAGCATTTCCATCCTCTGTTTTGGGCTTGTGGTATGATCATCACACTTTAACTTGAGTTTTATGCTTAAAAATGGAACCTTGATGCATCTAAAGGCTAAAAGATGATAACTTAACGTTGGGTAATGTCAAACACACCTAGAAATGCATGTTTAAGTGTTTATAATCGGTAAAAACCCAACCTTGGAAGGATATCTTCACGAAATGCAGTTTCTGCATTCTGTCATGAAATATCCGGATATCTGCCCGTGAAATATCCGGATATTTGATATCCGGATATGGGATTTGGATATCCGAATATTGGATATCCGGATATGGGAATCTGGATATCCGGATATTGTATATCCGGATATGGTTAGTAAGAATCCGGATATTGCATATCCGGATATGTCCCGAGGAATATCCGGATATTCTGGGATTTCGAAGAACAGTAGCTGTGCTGTGAGGACAGTAGACTATTAGGGGTTTGTGGACCATAGAGTGATGAAGTTGTACTTCTGTAATTAATGCACTAAGTCAGAATCATGTGATTAAGGGCTTATGGCTTTGTGGAAGCCTTAAGACGTAAAACGTAAAAGGAAACATAGTTTTATGTTAATGCTTTTGTGCTATGTATGTTGATACACTTGCTGGTCCTAAATCAGATTGTGATTTGCTGTGTGTTGGACTTGAGCTGTGAGGACTCTTGGCATTGGATAGTGAGCTTGCAAGGTAAGCTTTCGTGTACTCGGTTTAGCCATGTTGTGGTTCCACCATGTCCCATGGGGGTATGGTTATATGCATGCTGTGTTACATGCTTTTGATGTTTTCGAAATGCTATTGAGTTGTTATATGCTAGTGCCTTTATGATATGCATGTGGTGTTCCACCTATACGGTAAGCCTGAGTATGTGGTACATACAAGATGGTGAGGCTGTGGGTGAGGTGCAAGCGGCGTTCCTTGTACTACATGTAGGTATAGACGTATTCCTTCATTTCTCTGGCCAGTAGAATAGTGATAAACACACATGGCATGAATATTTGTTGCACTGTATAGTTTTGGAACTGATATTGATATAAATGTTTTTAGAACTTATATTGCACATGTAAGTGAGCTTGGGTGGAAGATCCTTGAGGACCCCTTGTCTTACTGAAATTTCTGGTTTAGAGATCTCACCCCACGTTTGGGGAATGCTTATTTCAGGGTCAGATAATGTTGAGACCTCAGGCGGTAGGAGGCCGGAGCTGAGTTAGATAATGATGACATTATATGCTGACATGTTGGATGCTGGTTATGCTTGCTGTTTTTATGCTTTTAGCTTCATGTTATGTTTATGATTATCTTGTTGAGACGCTGTTGATTTAGTGAGGATGGGGATTGTCCATGACCCATAGACTAGTTATGTCTTAGTTTGAATTGGAGTTGTAATAATGTATCAGGATATTGTCCGGATTACGTGATGTAATATCGTGACTTAGATACTCACTTTATATGTTATATTGAAGTATTTCAGTAGATGTCTTATTGCAATTTACATTCAAGCGATATTTTATGAAATTAATTAAGTAATCAAGTTGGTAATTGAAAATGTCGTAATAATTGAAAAGAAAAAGAATATTCTGCATTTTAATTAAGCGTAGCTTAATACGATGTAATGATAACACTACCGGATATATACGGGGTGTTACACCATTTTTCTAGGATTTATCATTTTTTTAATTTATTTTTCGCAGCACTTTGCCGGTACGCGCTTTTACGTGGCCGGTATCAGTTCTGACACCAATTCTCATTATTTTGACTTCAAACTTGTTATACTAGTCCTATATATTATTCTAGTAATATATACACACTTTTCATAATTTTTCGGGGTACTTCATCGGTACGCATTTATACAGTGAGGCAGAATCGATGTCTGTGCTTTTCGTCACAAAAGCAACTTTCAACATTATTAACACTTATTATAATTATTTGAGCTCTCTTATAATTATTAGGTTTAATTATGAAATTATTTCCTAATATCATAATTATGTCAATTAAATTAATTAAATTCCTAATTTAACGGTGTGGGTTCTTACACTTGCTATTTAGATTATTATGTTTGGATGCTGACTGCTTTACATTTATTATTATGTTGTTGTTGTTGAGACTCTGTTGGGCTTTGTTGCCTTATTTGGTGAGCAAGGGGGTTGTCCATGCCACATTGATTGACTATGTCTTATTTGGATTCGAGTTGTATTAATGTAGTAGGATTATGTCCGGACTATGTGTTGTAGATCTGTGGCTTAGATACTCATATATTTATATTATGAGGTTATTTATTGTAGATAGCTATCTATTTGCAATTACATACAGGCAATATTTTGAAAGTGATTTAAGTAATCAACTTGGTAATTGATAATGACGTCATAATTGAAAAGAAAAAGTTATTCCGCATTTTTAATTAAGTGTGGCTTAATACGATGACATGTTAACAAACCGGGTATACACGGGGTGTTACATTTTTCGATGAAAATATGTTTCGTTAAAAATTTCGACAGAAATTTTTTTTGTCAAAAAGTTTAACGAAAATGAATTTTGAACGGAATTTGAATTCTGTAAAAAAATTTGATGAAATTTTTTTTCGTTAAAATTTTTTCGATGGAAATGTGTTTCGTTGAAAATTTTGATGGAAATATTTTTCGTCAAAAATTTCGATGAATATGTTTTTTGTGAATTATTTTGAGGGAAATGTTTTGACGAAATTTAGATTCTGTAACAAAATTTGACAAAAAAAATTTCTGTCAAAATTTTTTACAGAAATGTTTTTAGTAACACATTTTGATTGAAATATTTTTCGTCAAAAATTTTTGCGGAAAATTTTGATTGAAATGTTTTCCGTAAAAAATTTTGACGTAATTGTTTTACGTCAAAACTTTTCGATGGAAATGTGTTTCGTCAAAATTTTGGACGAAAATATTTTCGTTGAAAGTTTCGAAGGAATTATAGAATACTTTTGATTGAATTTTTTTTTCTGTACAAAATTGATGTCAGTGATTATGGAAAAATTTGGTTTCGTCTTTAGTTTTGACGGAAATTTTTTGACGTATATGATTTTCATCAATAAATTTATCACCGTTTTGGACGAAATATTTTTCGTCGATAAATTTTGTCGGTGTTTGAGACTTTTCTAATAATGTCAAATTTAAAAATGATTCACATTTATGTAGTTTTTACATTTTAATGCTAAGGGTAGATAAATAATTTTTAATATTTTCCCTCTTAAACTCTCCAAATTGGGAGAACTTTAATTTTAAGAAGAATTAGGGTTTTGGCAGCTTACCAAAAAAAAAGAAATATGAGGGTTTTGGAGGATTTAGTAAAAATCTCCAATTTCTTTTCCTCATCTTTTAAAACTCACAAACAAAAGAAGGGCTTACTAAAACCCTCCCTTCCCTTTCCTTTCCCTCCTAAAATCAACTCGCAAACAAAGCCTTAATAGTAACAAGTTAATTAACCTAACTTCTTATTATACCTTGGATATTCTTAACTTGTTCGTCTCTGAGAATATAAAAGTCGTGATTTTGTAAGTGATTGGTACCCGTTGGTAATAACAATGTTACGCACTCTTTTCATAATGGAAATATCAATACGTAGTGAGAATTCACACTAGTACCACATACATAACATTGATAACACTAAATGCAAAATGACCCATATATCTATAAAAGCCAAAGCATCTCAAAGTTATTCCTACACTCTCCTATTCTTTTTTTCCCGTAAAGTATAAGCGTAAAAAATAGGGGTACAAAATCAAGGATGAGAAATAACATTATTGTATTATCCAAAAAAAAAAAGAATAACATTATTGTTTTAGTAGAAGTACGAGCAGTGTGATTTATAGCTGCTAGCTCAGGTCCACAAACAAATGTGTTTCTTGTTTAAGTTAGCATTTTCTCCATCGTAATGCTGAGCCTACCAATTTACCATTCATTTGCTACTACCTTTATGCTAAACCAGTTATGATCCGAACCTCCAAATGCAATGGCGCGTCGAAAAAGCTCCCCCTATAGCTAGCTAGCTATCTAGTGCACCTCTGAGTCTCACCGATTCAAGAATGTTGTTGCTCAAACTTCTCTTGAATTAATCCTGCAGAAAAGATTATGGACGGGGGCAAGTGGGTTCAATCTCCATATATATAATGTATTATTTCATGTTGCAGTGCATTACAGTGCATCTGGACAACTTTGGCTTTTGTAAGTTTGAACTTTATTCAGCTCAACTTGTCCTCCCATGATAGTTGTAGCCAGACTTGTTGGTGATCCAAAAACCCTTTGTGAGAAAGAAACCCAAAAGGAAGAAAAAATGATCACGTATAGGGAACTTAGTGCCCTGGACCTTAGGACCAGGCCAATTATAGATATGGATATATATATTTATATATATTTTTTAGAATGAGGATATTTTAACTACCAAAAATTCTTATTACTAACTTACTACCCATCACATCACCATTGGATCAAAGAGAGAGCATATTAAAAAGTTTTTGAAGAGAGAGAAAATATTAATCTAATGGTGATTAGATAGGTAGTAAGTTTAGGTAGTAAGTTGACAGTGGAAAATTTTAGTAGTGAGAATATCCCTCCTCTATTTCTTATATATCGACCCAATAAAAAAATTTAATTTGGATTATTAATCTTTTCATTGAGTTCTTAGATTTCTATAATAGTCTTTTAATTATTATTATGTATGGTCCATACTTAGTATTCAGAAGATAATTGTTGTGCGCCTCATGCTTATTTTATTTTTCTCTTTTTGTAGTTTAGGCTTGAGCCAATTAATAATTATTGTTGCTTAGGAATTTTGTGTCTATTTATATTCCCTTTGTAAATAAGGTATTTTGTAAAAAAAATGTGGTGAAGAGTATATAGTGAAATAATAATATATGTAGCGCACTTTGGGTAAACGACGGTAAATTTGTGTCTCCTTTCTTTCTTCCATTCTCTCTTTTCTGTTTTGCGACGTGTGTGTGATTATTTGGTCTCAACAATTATAAACCAAGTTGACTCACTCAATTGTAATTGTTCTATACTACTATATTAATAATTAATTAATCCATGGAAAAAGTGTGTATCATTTCAAAGGACACAAAGTTGTGTTTTTATGAGTGAGAAAGAGATAAATCATGGAAAAGAGAGTGGGGAGAAAAAGTTTTAAGGATATGGGTCTCACATCTCTGTGAGAATGAAAGAATATAAAACATGTCATTTAAAATAACACACATTTTCCCCTTAATCCATTTGCGATAAAATGTGGTCATTGAGAAGCAAAGGATATTCGGACGAGCTAGCTAAACCGTAAAGTAATTCGATGGTGGATGTTACATCATTCCTCTTATTAATGTCTTTCGTGGCTGGCTGCCCAATTATGTAAAAAGAAAAATTAAATAAACACATAAACACAATATTTATATTTATATTGATAGAGTAATGAAAATGCATTTGCCAGTAAATATTAATAAGAGCTCACAAGGTGGATCTGAATAATTATTATCTAAATATATAATACCAAAGATGGTCATATAGTTAAGCTAAACATATGTATCGTGAAGGTATGTCTTTGGTGAGGTAGAGGAGCCACACTAACCCCACCTGGCCCTTAGGAGCAGCAAGAAGCTAAAGTAATTAACAATTTTATTTTATTTTTGGATTAGTAATTAACACTACAAGAAAAAATCTTATTAGTAACGAAATTTTGTGAAATTTCGTCACAAATTCCTATGTCGCAAGTAAATTTTGTCACAAATTTCTGCGTCGCAAGTTTATTTGTGACGAAATTTGATTATTTGTGTCAAAAATTGACATTTGTGATAAAAATTATGACTAAATTTTTCCTCACAACTAAACTTTTTTGTTGTAGTGTAACAAGTTTTTAATTTGTAGCAGCTCTCAATCCCCCTTGGAACTGAAACTATGAGTTGTAAGGCTTAAACCCACAACGTGGGTGACACGTCATAAAGAACCAATGTGGGCCCCAAGGAATTTTGTGTATGGACACTAATGGCACTAGCTAACACGATTTACCCTGGGAGAGGTCTTCTTTCTAGAAGAGATTCCAACCATATAAGGTTAAAGAATGCAATAGGGTAAGACGAGTCTTTGGGATTGTGTGAAAGTAAATAGTAATTTGGGTGGAACAACTGGAAAGTACATTAAAGCTACAATGATGCGCTTCGCATTCCTCTTAGCAACTTGACTGAGATTACTTTCTTTTTGCTCACTATAAATACCCTCCACTCTTCGCATAATTGAAATATAGATAAGATAACCTGAACTTAGGGTTTTCACTTAAGAGAGCATCTACCATTTCCTCAGACACAGTGTGTGACAAAATTTAAGAGAGAGAGAACACTGCTCCGTAAGTTTATCCAGATTCAAGCAGAAAGATGGCCATTCATCATGAGTCTTTGGCTTTTGTTTTCGGTCTTCTAGGTAGATACTAGCCGGCTTTTGTTTTTAATACCATAGTTCTATCTCTATCACGTACTATTTTTCTTCATCATCATTATTGCAAAAACCTAAAATTAACGTCGATTTTTAACTACTTAGAAGAGTATATTATAGTTTCTACATTATTTATTACTATTTTACTATTATTGTTGGTAGTTTTAGAGAACATGATATCTGAAATCATATGTGGCATGCAGCTTGCATGGCATTTTTCTAATTACCATTTGTTTTCTAGTGCTGATGAGTATCTTCTCTATTTTTGCTGTGGTTTTAATAGGAAACGCCATCTCCTTTATGGTGTTCCTTGCTCCGTTGTAAGTGATTTTTTTGCTATACCATTCTCCTCGTGATTAATGAACGAGCAGAATATAATTATCCGCTGAAGTAGTGTACGTATTAACTATATATTAATATTTGAGTGCAGACCAACATTTTACAAAATCTACAAGAAGAAATCTACCGAAGGGTTTCAGTCACTTCCTTATGTTGTTGCATTGTTCAGTTGTATGCTTTGGATTTATTACGCACTCGTCAAAAACGACGCTACCCTCCTTCTCATCACCATTAATTCCTTTGGATGCGTGATAGAGTCAATTTACCTTGCTATATTCCTAATTTACGCCCCAAAGAACACCAGGGTATTCATCTAATTAATAACTCTCATTCAAGGCTTTTTCTTTTCTATTCCTTTTTTTGTTTTTTCTAGCATAAAAATTTAATTATTGGTCCTTTTTCTTTTATGTCGTAGCTTTCTACCATCAAGCTTCTTCTCTTGTTGAATGTGTGTGGGTTCGGAGCGATGCTTCTTTCAACCCTCTACCTTACAACGGGATCCAAACGTCTTTCTATTATAGGATGGATATGCCTGGTTTTCAACATAAGCGTATTTGCTGCTCCTCTTTGCATTATGGTGAGAATTTAATAATAGTGTAGAAGATAATTTACTATTTCTTTATGTACTTTAATTTGTTGTAGAGAGAATTTCATCATCATCAACCTTTTTTTATTTTATTTATATTTTTTTTCCACACGTGCCAAACGACAATGTAAATTTTCATGATTGACACATGCAGAAACGCGTAATAAAGACCAAGAGCGTGGAATTCATGCCGTTTAGTTTGTCCTTCTTTTTGACCTTAAATGCTGTCATGTGGTTCTTCTATGGTCTTCTCCTCAAGGACTACTACATTGCTGTAAGTTCAACTCTATCTTACTACATACGGTTAGTAGCATATTCATATTATTGACCTTTGAACTCTTGTCTTATTCCTTTTAAAGGCGTTCCTTTTTCACTTTTCTCATTTCTTTAATGTGTAGATCCCTTCTTAACTTATTTTATTTGAAGAAAGATCCCTCAACTTTCATTATGCTTTGTAAGTGATAACGCCAATTATAACAAAACTAAATGTGTGCGCGTTCCATTATGGTTCAGTTCCATGAAAAAGAATCAAAGTGCAACATGGGACCCATATTCTAAATACATTTTATATTGAATAAGAATAAGCTTATATTATATATGTGTGCGTAAAATAATTTAATTTGATTCCTTCCTTTGTTTTTTGTACTGAAAAAATTTGAATAGTAATAAATCATTTGAACTACTAAAAAAAAATATGATTAAAAAAGAAAATATGATTTGATATTTGCATTTGGATGATGCAGCTCCCAAATACGCTTGGATTTCTGTTCGCAATAATTCAGATGGTGATGTATTTGATATATAGAAACGCCAAGAAAGAGGCACTAGATGAGCCACTGAAGCAGCAGGAACTAAACGTACATGTCGTTGACGTTGTGAAACTGAGCACAATGGTGCCCTCCGATCCGAATCATATAGCTAAAGGTGGTGCTGTGAATGTTATCACTTCAATTGAGGATCCAAATGGAAAAGAAGAAACAGGAAAGGGTAACCATAATAACATGGATGCCACTGCCAAAGTGTGATTAATTAGCGAATTAAAAAATCCAAAAAAGAAAAAGAAAAAATAATAATTGAAGTCCTAAAAATTATAAGATTAACTTAAAAGTGCAATTGCCCTATTCTCGTTTCACTCATGTAATGAGAAAGGCAAGAATAGTACTTAGTCTGGTGTTAAGGTTTTTCGGTTTGATTAATGTATTTTCCTGAAAGGGTAATTGTAATTGTAATTGTGAAGCAGTCAAATATGTTATGATGCTTAGCGTTTCTTTGGCCACGTCCATCACTCTCAGATTGTAGTAATACTTGTAACATAGTATGTCCAGCGCGGCGTAGCCACATAGCTATCTGGGTGTGGCTTCGGCTCGAACTAAATTTTAACAAATTATATTTATGATGTATAATTATATAATTAATTATAATTTGGCCCAGTCAAAAATTGTAATTTAGTCCGGACAAAAATTTATAATTTGGCACTACCAAAAAATTAAAATATATTTAGTGAGAGATTTGGTTAAGTTGTATTAAGTTATATATTTCATTTCTATTTATATAAAAAAAATTAAAATATATTTAATAAAATTAAAAACTATTTAATAAAATTATAATTTTTTTTATACTTCCTGCTCAAGTATTTTGTATTTAATATAATTTAAATTTATTATGATATGAATTAACTAAAATTAAAAAATATATATATATATATAATTTTTTGGCTCAGACTTCGGTTGGAGCCTGGCGGAACATTGACCAAAATGTCACTGTTCATCAACTTTTTTACCTAAATGCCACGCGAATAGTGTTATTTCTCAATATGTCACGGGGGCAAGTTCACTATCCTGTGTAGCGAACTCGGTTTGCTGCGTGTCACATTTTTTATGGATAACAAATATCAAATTTTAAAAAAAATAATAAAAAAAATGAAGGTCGCCTACCATGTAGACGAACTTGGTTAAAATCAAATTGGTGTCCACTACAAACGTGACACGTCAGCGAACCGAGTTCGCTATACTGGGTAACAAACTTGCCCCCGTGGTAGATTGAGAAATAACACTGATCACGTGACTTTTAAATAAAAAACTTAATAAATAATGACATTTTGATAAGTGTTCCGAGCCTGGCTCTACCACCGATTATGTCCTCTTCTTTTATGTCCTCTTCTTTCAGTGTGTCCCTCAGTCAAACTCGTCAATCGCTCTTTCCATGTATGCGCAATCTATGTTAATGTGATGGGAATTAATATTTTGCTGATTTTGTAGTCTATGACTAATGATCACACTTATTTTTAATATGCTACAATCATCATTATCCTAATGTTAAATTTTATATTGTTATTGTTAGAATATCACAATTAAATAATAAATTAAGCGATATAGAGAGTGGGGTCTTCTCTTCTCTTTTATGATCTCATGGAGAAGGGGGCAGATATAAAGGACATCCGAAAAAGTAAAAATGTATATCTTGATGACGGCAGCATGACAAGGGTTGGCAAAACAGCCCGACAATACGATTGTAAAATATTGATTGGGTTCGAATGCGAGATTCTATTCATCAAAAGTAAAGTGTTAAAATAAACCTATGGCAAATATTTGAAATTACTTAGAACGCCAAAACAATGATTGACTCATAATTATTATTTACTTTCGATGTTTAATTGCTAAAAATTTCAACCTCGAGATATTTGTATAGCCTTTTAGGACAAAGTCAAAACAGATGATTGTCTTTTACCGAATATAATAATGCAATCATACACACAGGAGAAGTTATGATTGTCTTTGCATGAAATTTTTTTTTTTTTTTTTTTTGTAAATTCTTTGCATGAAATTTTGTATACATGTAAAGCTATTATGAAATGAAAAATAATTTTTTATTATTTTTTATGAAAGGCAAAATCAGCATGCAACATTTTAATTTACAGATTTACGGGATGCAAGATGCCATGCTAATATGATGAAAAAAAGTGTTCTATTTAAATATAAAAATGCATGAATGACATCTGGATTTTATTTTTTTGATATATACAAGACGCAAAAAACCATGTTAAAATCAGTGTTTTAAAATCTCATCCCGTCTCCCGGGTTAACCCGGGTCAACCCTGACTCCTCCCCTCTGAGGGTTGGGGTCACAAGTTGGACCTTACATGCATATTGATCCCTCCAACCCTCAAAATTCGGGCGAATTTCAGTGACTCCCGGGTCAGAGGGGTCAAAGGGGGTCACTGCATATTTTTTTTTTTAAATTCCATGAAACAACATTTTTTTATTAAAAAAATAAAATAAAAATGCTTGCAAACCTAAATCTAATTGTTCTCTTTTCTAGCAGCGGCCTAGACGTCTTCAATCATCACCTCGCTTTCGTGAATCTTCTAGAAAAGATAAGAATTTTACCCACTCAAATGAAATCCTTACGATTATCGATAGAAAACAAAAACTCATTCTTACTTCTTTTAAATTTTTCTTTGTCAGGGACCTTCTCAAAAGAGGCGGAACCGGGTCAGCGTAGTGACCCCATTAGAATATGAGTTTTGTACTTTGATATCTTGATACTTTAATTAGGTTGTGTAATATTGACTTGTGGTTGTAAGTGGTGAATTATGTTAAGTATATTTTGAATCTTTGATTATTGGTGATTTATTTTTAATATTTTCATACAGGATATATATATTTATATTTTTTTATATATAAAACCGGGTCAGCGTAGTGACCCTATGACCTCCTGGTTGAACCCGTGACTCCGTAACTTCTGACCTCAGTCGGGTCGATGGCCGGGCCAGATTTTTAAACACCGGCTAAAATAGACAAATTTGACAAAGAAAATAAAAGTAAAACATGAGGTATAATTACCAGGCTAGTACGCATATAAAAATGCAAGAAATATTTTTCCAAGAAGATACCGCATTTCAAGGGCAAGACTTGCTTTGATACTTAGGAGATTCCCAGTACGGAAAATCGAACCTAAAACGATTTCCATTTTTACTAGATTAAACAACCCGCTGCCAATGTTTCTCTATTTTCACATTATTCTCCTTAGATTCCGTGTATTTGTTGGTTTTTTGAAATAGTACCTGTACGGACAATGAATTAATAAGTATTTTGGCAGTTTTATCTTGGGTTGATTAATTAGGTACATGCGCATCCATACACCACTGACCAACCCGACATATTATTCATATACAATATGATATTTTGTCAATAATATCAAATGGCTGGAAACCAGACGATTTATATTGGCCTACCATATTGTTTCGTGTTAGCCTCCTATGCAAGGTGGACATAATTCACATCGTTAAATAAAAGGTATGTGTAATTATGAGAATTTGGATTATTTTTTTCTCCTATCTTTCTCTCTATCAAATCCCCGTGGGAAAAAAAGATTGATCAATTATGTTTGTACCGTTAATTTGTGATGCTTCAGATAAGATGTCGCGTTCTGATCCATGATACGAAGAAATATGAAAGAGTTTGTTCCAATTGTCTCACAATATTGAAGTTTCTGAGTGGGAACAAACCCAATTAAAAGGAAACGGTAGGTGGAGGAAAATGCAAGAATAAGAAGCACTAACAAATTGTGGAACCAAAGAATGGGCCACATAGAGTGAAAGATAATGAAGGAAAGGTGAGTCATTCGTCTCAAGATAAGCATTGAGGGCTTTACGCAAATGAGTGAGCCAAGGTCATTCTAAAAGTTGCTTATGATTGTGTTGAGAGATAACCTTGCCGTGCTCGTAGCCGAACACAATACTTGGTTAGGTGGTTCCCATGCTCTAGGGTGATGCAATAAGCCACTTGTTTGGACGACTTTAAAGCCTCTCAAACCCGTCTTCTTCTAATGCTTTATATGTTTCTATTCATATACATCAATGAAATGATATATCGATGTTCATTACATGGGCATGGGGATGCCAACCTGCCACTTCGACCTTAGATATGATTCGTTTTTTTCTTTTTTTAATATTTTTCTCTTTTCTAGTGGCTAACCTTGACCCTGTGCCAATGATTGTCTCATAATGCTTTCCTAGATAGATATAATATATCTTTTGTTTCTGATTGAATTGAATTTTCAGTGACTAGCACAATACCATGTGTCATGCTTAGACTTTGTGGCGGGCCTGCCTTAGCTCATGCTTTAATCGTGTCTTATTAATCCTTCTACCTTTTTGTCTTTTCAATTGTCCTTGTTTTCAACTCTTCCATTAGTACTAAGATATGGTTGCGAAATTCATCTTTTACGTGTTTTATTCAACCCTATTATTTTGTGTCAGATTAACGATCACAGATTTATATTCCTAATAATTTGTTGGTTTACCTCAAATGAATCAATTAGACATGAAGCGTGGGCAACCTCGATCATCCTCTAGTGCTCATATATAATTGAATCAACTAGCCAGGTTTTTTAGGCTAAATTATATATTTTTAAATTCATTGTTAAAATCAGGGGCGAGGGCTAGGGTAGGTGGTCCACCCCTCCCCACAAAAAAAAAATTTGAAGAAATTTTTTTATTGATGGTGAATCAAAAGTGGATCTCATCATTCTCTGGCAACGGACAAAGGCACAAAGTTGAGATTGCAATGGCGAAGGAGGCATCTTTTTTAGGTTAAAATATGAGAGCAGAGGCTTCTTTTCTGATTGGGCATCTGTGAAAATGATTGTTGGGATTTCTTTGGATGTAAAAAATTGCTCAATACATAAAAAAAGCGTTGGCTTTCAATAATGAAAGGTTTTCCTGATATGGGTCTGTTTCAGAACAGAGGAAAACACAAAAAGATGCATGTGGGAAGGGAAACATAGAACAGAGAAAAAAATTTGCTAATATGATGCTCCGTAGCCCAAAAATAGTTTTCGCCTCCCCAATCCTAGCTCTGCCACTAGTTAAAATAAAAAAAATATATGATTGAATAAAAATATTCACAATTTAGATACTTTAACCCTACATGGTAGCCTCCTATTTATAAGGAAAAAAATATACCTTGGCCATAAGGGGGCGTTTGGTTGAAGAGAAATTTCTTGAATACTAGGGAAATGTAAT